AAAAGGGTGGCTGATTTTTTATGGCGGGGGCAGCCGTCGCTGTTGCATGGAGCCTCAATCCCAGAGTCTGGTGTGGGACCCTGGAGTCCGGGCTCCTGGTCTGTGGTTAGTTCTTGCGCCACATTGCCGGGCAGGGTGGAGCTGCAGACTAGACGGGTGAGGAAGGAGGTAGAAAATTAGACCGCCAAGCTCAACAAAGGACACCAATGTTCCTACCCTGGCTAGTTGTGTCCCTTTCACCATCCTGAGGGTCCAAAGTAAACATGCACATTGCTAATCCAGCTGCAGGAGGTGGCAAATATAGAAGGATAATTTCTCTCATCCCAAAGACTCTGCCATCTGACTGCCCCCTGTACACCATGCCAACATCAGGCACAATCTTTTAACTTGACCTTAATAGGGAATACATTCAAGATGCCACATTAGGGTCCAGATTTAACACTGCCTTAAGAATCCAGATTCAATCCTCCATGTTTCAAAACATGTGGGCCTCCCAATTACATTTTGCTTTCAAATCCTGCCCTCGAAAGCGACCCTATCTCAGCTGACACTGAAAGAAAGATTCCTGAAAGATTCCCCCCATTACACTACAGAGTTAACATCCCAATTGAAAAGCCAGGACTTGTTTCATGTGGGAAAGAAAGACAAGGGCAAGGTGCCTCCCCAAATCCTTCCTGACATGTTCCTCAGCCCACCCAATCCAAAACCGTGAGGTTTTTTCAGATGATATCATCATTACTTTTCAGAGGTGTTACCTCTGAAAACTACACTTTTCTTCAACTTCTGTTTGGATCAAAAAATAAATGGACTTTTAGGACAATTCCACATATTTTTGATTGTCCGAAAAATGTTGAAATAACCCTGTTTGCAAATCCATCGTTCCCAGGATATTAGCCAGACACAGTGGGCGTGGCTGTATTTTTAGTGGAGTATTCATCTGTGTTTATTAGCTTTTCTCCTTGTCCCATTTTTCACACATTTTGAGGAAAAGGAACATTTCCCCCTGCTTAAGTTGGTGCCGCTGTGGAAAGTGAAACAAAATCCCCCTTTTTTTCACCCCAATCCAAAGCAATTCAGCTTTTTGTCCCCATATCAGAGCAAATGTGTAAGTTATTTGCAACAGGCAAATTACTGAGAAAACTGACCCTCCCCCTCCATTTCAGTGATTCTACTGCCAGAATTGCGTAACTCTAACCTTTGGTTCAATGCAAAGAAAAAAATCCATTTGGCTGTGATATTTTCTGATGTTTTGTGTCCAATTTGTAGGACACTGCTTCTTTTCCCCACCCAAACCTTCCAAACAACAATCTTTTTAGTGCCAAAGGTGGGAGGGGGGGGGTTTTTCCCACTCCAAATCCCAAACAAGCCCAGTGTTTCCTGTAAGCTGAGAGCTTGGTTTGCCATTCATGAGAGAGTCCAATGCCGCCCAGCCGATCAGCAGAGGCAGCATATGCTTTGTGGTGGAACACATCCATACAGCACGAAAGAAAATTTATTCCTCACACAAATGGAAAAACTTAGAAGGAACGCTGAATGAGCCCCAAAGATCTGGATGATTTTCTGCCTAATACTGGGCAAAAAACCCCAACTACATGGAAACTCAATTTGTGAGGTGGGAATTTTGTTGAGAATTCAAGGGATTTCTATGCAAAAACCAAAGGGAAAAAAAACTCCACAACTTTTCACATGTTAAGGGCCTGTGTTGCCAAAAACATGACATTTTTTTCCTTGTTAGCCCCATAGTCAATAGCTTTAAGGTGCAGTTCAGACCCTAAACATCACCTTTGACCTATTCTGTTCCATGCATGCCAAATGACAGGAAATGTTCCTTTCCCACCCCAACCTCACAGAAAACCAATGTTGTGTCAAAACAACGCTAGAGCAAGCAGACGTGAAGAAGGTTAAATGACTCCTGGGTTCTAATCCCAGCAATGGGTAGCAAGCAAGGTCCAGAGGGTTGGCAGGGGGTGGACTGTGAACAAGAACTCCTGGGTTCTCTCCCTAGTTCTGAGAGAGGAGTGAGGACTAGTGGTTAAGAAAGGGAGGGGGGCTGGGAGCTGGGAGTTCTGGGTTCTCTCCCCAGCTGTGGGAGGAGATTGGGGGCTGGTGGGTTAGGGCAGGTGAGTCTGGAAGCCAGGATGCCTGGGTTTTTGCCCTGGCTCTGGGTGAGTGGGAGGGGTAGGGTGTAGTAGCTTAGAATGGTGTCACCTATTCTCACCCACAGAGAAGACCAGCACAAACCTGCCAGAAAGAACAGCAGTGTTCCCAGGGAGCTCATGGTGAAGAGACCACAGGAGGAGTGTCTGTCCCTCACTCTGTCTCGCTGCCTCTGCCTCCTGTCCTGCGCTTCACTGATAAACTGTAGGAAACGAAACCAGTTCCCTTTCCAAGGCTGCTCTCCCGCCTCTCACCACCAATAACACGGAAATGGGCCTCACGCACAGATAAAAAATCCTCTCCCCCGAGATGCTGCCATCTCTGAGGCAAGGTGACCAGCTACACGGTGATCCCTCATCTGGTCTGAGTAAACATGCTCACAGGTCATGGGGCTGGGTTATCCAGCCAGGTGGGCCCCCAGGGCTGGGCTGTAGGTGGGGGAGGTGGGATAGTGTGTTGTATGGGCTCCTCAGTTGCAGGGAACTCCAGCTGCTGCAGGCTGCAGCCTGGGGGGAGATGAATCAGTGCTTTCACTTCCCCATCAGGATGCTTGGAGGGTGCTGAGTCAGCAACCCAGGGTAGGCCTGTGACCTTCATATGATGGGTCACATGTGCTAGGCCAGGGAGGGGGCTGGGAGCCAGGACTCTCTGGTTCTCTCTCAATTTGTTGCACATTACCTTGACTTTTGAACTGAGCTGGTGTCTGAGGTGAGGTTCAGTTCCAGACCCCAAACTCTTCTAGGCTGACTCCTGTCAGCGTGCAGGCCCCCAGTGCAGCCATCAGAGCAGGCTGGGTGAGTCCCAGCTGCCCAACTGGGTCAGACCAACTCTGCTCTGTAAACACACATGAGCACTCACTATGCCCTGTCAGCTGGTACTGGGAGCCAAGACCCCTGGGTTCTTTTGCTGGCTCTGGGAGAGCAGCAGTGGCTGGGGAAAGCAGTTGGATAGCATAGGCTAAGAGACACCTGACAGCCTTTGCTTCCATTCAAGGGATGTGTTTTCCTATGGAAAGCACAGGGTGGAAGCGTGAGCCCCTCCCCAGTGCACAACTTGCCTCTTGCCAGGGTCAGCTCTGTCTTCTCCTGAGTGGGAGGGAGCCATTCATCCTACCACCACCAGGGGGCAGCCTGCCCACCTAGCTTATATTTCCTTTCATGCCTGGGGAAAACTCTGCCACTGTATCTCCCTGCTGTCATGTTTCCAGCCAGCCACAGAAGAATGAGCAATCTGCAGAATCCATGGTGCTGTGGCAATTCATTCATAAATAAGCCCAACAGATCAGACACTAGGGTACACAGGAGCCTTGCTCTATCCTAGGTTACAGCAGTAGGAGAGTTAAGGCAAATAAAGGAGTAGAATTAATGGCCCCCAAGATCTAATATCCATTTTCCCTAGCTTAAGGCTCAGATGCCTGGCTTCTATGTTGTAAAGCTGGTGACAGCCCAAGTGTTGTCAACTAAGGAAGTAAAGCTAGTTCCACTCACTGCCAAACCACCCTGACAACCTAGTTCAACAGGAATCCAGTTCACCTGCAGAACTCCCTGCAACAGGATTGCACCCAGAAGAGCACTAGCCCAACAGGGCAAATACAGAAGGGCTCTACAGGAGGACAGACCCAACCATTATCTGCTGTTTAGGAAGCACAGAGCCAGATGCTGCCCTGGGTGTAATGTGGCAGAGATGCTGCCGGAGTGATACAGCACCTGCTCCGACAGCTCAGGCCCAGGGAAGTTAAAATAGGTATATAGGACAGCTGCCTCGGACTCAGGGGAACAAACCCTTAGCCACCCTTCACTCCCCCACCACCACACAGCATGGGAGTCTTGGGCAGCAGCTTGTGTAGCAGCCTAAATTTGGCCTCCAGGACATCTCTCCTACGCTTCCCTACGTCATTGGTACCTACATGTACTACGACCACCGGCTCCTCCCCAGCTGAGATCCCACTGTTTGTATCAGTCACCCCTTGTACTTCTACAGGCATTTTAGTCAGATTGCAGGGCCCTCACACAAGGTCATATCTCCATTTAATAGCAAGGAAACTGAGACTAAAAGGGAGGGGTCCCTCTTAGTAGGCATCCCCCCAGCAAGTCCAAAGTCTGGAAAAATTGGAGAGGGTGCAACATGCAGTGCAAAATAGTCCTCTTGGAGCTGTTGTGGAGACTGCTGTGATTAGTACCCCCTCATGCATACAGTGGAGCAGGATCCCACTGACACTAACTGGAAGATCAGCCACACAAAGCACAACATTCCTCCACTCAGCTGGGATGGGGAAGGACCTGGCCAAACTGCCTTGAGGCCCCGAGAGGGGGGTGTGTCACTCTCCCTTTACAAACACAACCCAAAGCAGCTGCCATGTTGCAAGATCTTTATTTGGTTCCTTTCAATAAATACTATACAAAAAAGTAAAAAGGTCGCAAACAATTTTGTTGGATGGGGGAAAATGGAGCGCAGGTTGGAGGAGGAACAAATTTCTAGCTTCATGTTTGTGAGGCTACTGATTTGGAGACTCCCCCCACACCCCAGAGCTACCAATCCTGAGGTAGGTCCAATTCACAAGCAGTTTGATTTAGCACCAGGATCAGGGTTGTGATAGCCTGGGGGCTTGTTAATGGACTGCCCAAGCTTTGGGAGCAGGGACAGCAGGATTCTGGGGTTAGAACCCTGCCATTCCACTAAATGCTCCAGTTCTGGGAGTGTGTGTGTGGGGGGGGGAGGAATTAGTGAATACTGGGAACAGAAGTGGAAGCCAGCATGCCCTGGGTCCCACCTCCCCCTCCTAATTAAGGAGGGATCCTGAATTAGGACTTCTGGGTTCCATGTAGCTGGGGAGAAGCCAGGAGTCCGGTTCCAAGACTAGAGTGACATGAGGGAACAAGGGTGTGAACTACTGGCCAGGATGCCAGGGTTCCCACCTTGCTCTGAAGTAATTCAGAGCCTGGAGGCCTGGTTCCCGCTGGTCTGGCCTCCAGGTGTGAGCAGTAGCAGGAGAGAAGTGGACAGAGACAGAGAAATGCCACAAAACACTAAAGTTGGATTTTTTTCACCTCCAAAAAGTGACATTTATTCAAAAGCCAAAAAACAAAAAACCCAAAACAACAAAAAAACGGAAAATTAAAAAAGTCTCCCGAGCCGGCGTGTGACAGCGGCTCCCCGGCCCCCCCCTCAGATCAGGTCAGCCACATTCAAGGGCATCTCCTCGATGGAGGTGTTGTAGAAGGTCTCTATGTCACGCAGGGTGCGCTTGTCCTCCTCGGTCACCATGTTGATGGCCACCCCTTTCCGGCCAAAACGCCCCCCTCGGCCGATCCTGGAGGGGAGAAGGGATGAGAGCAAGACTCCTGGGTTCTCTCCCTAGCTCTGGGAGAGGAATGGGGGCTGGTGGGTTACACCCCAGCGTGTCTCAACCAGTGGTACGAGTAACCTTAGGGGTACTCGAGAGATGTCTGGGGATATGTCAACTGAAATTTGGAGAAAGCTGAATTGGTTTCAAGTTTTACAATGTTTTATTTTTGTACCTTTTACACTCAATTTCACCACCCACCTAGTTACAATTAAGTTTAAACAAATGTGTTACAATGTAGAAAAAAATGGTGTGTCTGAAAACTGTAGGTAATGGGGTATTTTTAAAAAAGGGGTACTTTATAAAAGATTGAGAAACACTGGGTTAGAGCAGGAGGCTGGGAGCCAGGTCTCCTGGTTCTCTCCCTGGCACTGGGAGGGGCCCAGAAACACCCCCTCCCCTACCCCACTGATACCTGTGGATGTAGTTCTCCCGGTTGGTGGGTAGATCATAGTTGATAACAAGCGAAACCTGCTGCACATCAATGCCACGGGCCTGGGGAAGAAAAGGCAGCCAGTTCTCAGACTCCACACCTGCACATGGGCAGCACCCATCATAAGAATGTGGGCTGCCATGCCACAACTGAGGCCCCAGGTGGGGATGCCTCCTGTGGGGAGCAGCCCCATCTTGGTTTTCCAAGGAGCTACATTCCACACACAGCATGGGGAGGCTGGGAGGAGAGGGAATCTCCTTGGGTGGGAGGTGCCCGTGACACTGGGGTTTGCTGACACCTAAGATGGCTGCTGTCATGTGATGGCAGCCATTTTAGGTGGGCTGATCTCCCCAGTTCCCTCCCAATTCCTGTGCTTATAACTCCTCCCACCACCCCAAGTTACCATGCCTGTCACTTGTGCCCCTCCCCTGTACCAGAAGTTGGGGAACATTTAACTCCACATCTCCAGCCCCACCCAAATCTCACCAGTAAGTCAGTGGTGATGAGGACCCGGCTGGAGCCAGAGCGGAATTCACGCATGATCACGTCACGTTCCTTTTGGTCCATGTCTCCGTGCTGGGGGAACAGGAAAAGTCATTAGTAGCTAATGCAGTCCTATGGGGAGGGGTGTTCCTCACATCTCCCTCCCTGATCTGTGGGGCAACCCACAGCCCCCTTCCTGGGGAATCTTGCACTGTCAGCCACTGAAAGGGAAAGGGACAGAACCCAGGAGTCCTGCTTCCCAACTCTGCCCCACCCCCAGCCAGGCAGCCCCTGCAAATAGCTGTGCCCCCCATTTGAGTCCAGGACCCACAGGCACTGGGACGGCCATGGTTCAGGAGGGCCATCTACTCTTGCATGGGGTACACTATGGAGGAGCTATGGGGTACCCTTCCATAAATCCAGACCCATGCTGCCGGAGTGGGATTAGAACCCAGGCATTCTGGCCCTGCTTTATACTCCCACCCCTGAAACCAGGGACAGCACCCAGGAATCCTGACTCCTAGCCACCCTGCTCTGACACCAGCCCCCACCAGAGCTGGAGAGAGAACCACCCCACCCGGACCAGCTATACCATGGCAGAGACGGTGAAGTCCCGGGCATGCATCTTCTCGGTCAGCCAGTCAACCTTCCGGCGAGTGTTGATAAATATGACAGCCTGGGTGATGGTCAGGGTCTCATAGAGATCACATAGTGTGTCCAGTTTCCATTCCTGGGGAGAGGGAGGTTTGCCCAACAAGGGTTAGGCCTGCAGCTGACAATCCCCTTCCCCCCCTCCAGCAGGGCCTGCAGACACCAAAACACAGTGGCCAGAACTACCCCCAACATAGCTGTACTCCCCATTTCAGGGACCTCACTCTGACATTAGGGGAGGCCATGGTTCAGGGGGGATGACTGCTCTTGCATGGGGCACACTGGGGAGGAGCCATGGCAGGGCTCCTCCATAAATCCACGACCATGCAGCTAGAGTGGGAATAGAACCCAGGCATCTTGGCTTCCCCTCCCCCCACACCTCTCTCTCGACGTTGATGTAGAACTGCCGGATGCCCTCCAAGGTCAACTCCTCCTTCTTCACCAAGATGCGGATCGGGTCCCGCATGAACTTCTTGGTCACTTCTAGTACATCCATGGGCATGGTGGCTGACAGGAGCACCACCTGGGGGGAGGGGAGAGAAGGACAGGACAGGGGAGTGAGAGGTGAAGCTGCCCACCTCCCTCACTCAAGATCCTATCTGAGCTGTCACAACTGGAGCATTTCCCCTGCGTTCCAGCTTGCTCTAGCTCCCCCTCTCTCCTGCTTCCTGGGTTCTAGACCACTCTATTGGTGGTTCTACCGGCCCATTGACTAATACACCTACCCACGAAGCCAGTGTTCCTTAACTGTAAGACTGAGGAACACCAAACAATTTTTTTAAAATGAGAACACCAAGGATTTTTTTTGGTGAGGGAAAAGAAAAAAAGGTCAGAGGATGGAGTAAGTTATGGAGTAAAAGTGTTACCTGCCCCTTTAAGGGTGGCCAAAGGTCAGAGGATGGAGTAAGAGTTATGGAGTAAAAGTGTTACCTGCCCCTTTAAGGGTGGCCATTTTGAACTCTGTTCTCCATAGCACACCGACTGCCTCACAGCACACCGGTGCGCCACGGAACACAGTTTAAGAAACAAGCTGCAGATCCCTCTACTGGTGGCTCCAGCACCCCACTAGCCAGCTCCCCAGGCTCCAGATCCTACTATTGTGACTCCACCACCCCAATGACAAGACTCCTCCACTGGCAGTTCTAGCTCCCCACTGATTACCAATCCTTTCTGCGTTTAAGACTTTTTTTACTGGTGGTTCTTGCTCCCCTGGTGATCTGTCCCTGCTTCCTGGGTTCTAAGTTCCTCCACTGGCATCTGCAGCGCCCCACTAACTTATGCTCCTGGATTCTAAATCCCTTTCCAACCAGTCTCAAGTTCTGTGTAGCAGACTTCAACTCTCCACAGATAGGCCTAGTTAGCTGCTTTTTCTGCCACTTCACCACTCCTCACCCTGTGGGTTTGACCTCTTGGTGCTCACCTAGAACTCTAATCTTGATCACCACCAGGTTTTTCTTTCTCCCTGGTAGACTCACTACTCGTCTCGCGTAGCCAGTTCAACCTTGTTTTGGGGGAGTTGGGAGGGGGAAGAGCAATTAGTTTAGAACCATGGGTGGGGTGGATTCAGTAGTGGAGCTAGCCATGGACTAGCTAGTGTGTGGCTAGCCTAGAACCCCCAGGAATATCACTGCTTTAGATCCCTCCTAATCCCATTCTCTCCCTGCCCTCCATTGAGACTCGCCTCCAGAGAGTCCAATCCTGAATCACTTCTCCCCCCCCCGCCCCCGCATTCTGGATTGAGTAGTTTCTGATTCTAGACCACCCTCCCATCCCGGGCTCCCAGCCCACCTGGGTGTTCCCGCTCAGCTTCTGGAATATGTCGTAGATCTGGTCCTTAAATCCACGGCTCAACATTTCATCGGCCTCATCCAGCACGAACATCTTAATGAATTTGGGTGCTGCCGGGAGAGGGTGGGGAGGCTGTCAGCCTGACCAAGAATATGTGGGCAGGGGTTGCATGTTGGGGGTGAGTAGTAGTTGGTTCCCCAGGGATCAAGAACAAAAGATGCTGTTCTCAGTCAGAGGGCTCTGATCATGCCCAGAAACCCTGTGCCAGACCCAGACGGGCAGCCTGCAGGCAGAACGCCAAGCAGAAGCACAAGGAAGCACTGGGATCAGCTGACACGCATGGGGGAAATCATCACTGAACAGGCATGGGGCAGGTCCACCCCCACCCATGTGAAGAAAGGACTGTCCTTCCCCCACAAGCAACACCACTTACATAGGTATCGCCTGTTCAACATGTCGAAGACTCGGCCTGGAGTCCCCACAATGATGTGGGGTGCTTCCATCTGCAGCTTCTGCACCTCAGCCCGGACATTGGTGCCCCCAATACAAGCATGGCACGAAGCCCCCATGTAGTCCCCCAAGGCCATCACGACCTTCTGGATCTGCAATGAGGAAGCAACAGTGAGCAGCCAGAGTGCCAGGCCTTGCTGCAGAGGCATCTCTGGCAGTAGGCAAGAGGATCCTAATTACCAACTACCTTGTCCACAGATGCAGGCATCTAAGCAGTTGGTACCGAGGACCTCAATAGCCTTGTGCCCCCAGCATGAACCAGCGACAGCCACTGCCAAGGCAACTGTGCTGGGATGAATAGGGGCACGTCACTCTGCCCCTGCTAGATTTAAGAGCTGCGCCACCAACCAGACGCGCCTCTGCCCAGGTAGCAAGGGAGGTCCAATTCCATGGGGGGGGGAGGAGACAGACAGACAGACACACACGGAATGAGAGGAAACATGGGGAGAGTCAGAATTCCCAGGATGAGTCACCATCAATGTCTCCATTAGGTGTTACTGGACTGCTTTGCTTCATTAAATGAAGGGGAGGGAGGGGGGGTTAAGGGCTGCCAGCCAACTCACCTGCTGGGCCAACTCCCGGGTTGGGGCCAGTACCAAGGCTTGGGTCGCCTTCAGGTCCAGCTCGATCTGCTGGAGGATAGAAATGGCGAAGGTGGCAGTCTTCCCAGTGCCAGACTGAGCTTGCGCGATCACATCATAACCTAAGGGAGATGAGAGGCACTGGTCAGCACCTGCCCCGGGATGCCTGTGTATCAGATGGGGAACCTCAGGCTTCCGGCTTGCCTTGATCCGGACCTTGAGGTTCAGCACCTCCCCACCCCCATTGGGGAACCTACACTGGCACTCCAGGCTGCTGCCCCCCCTCCCTCGGGCTGTGTTTGTATTTAAAAAAAAAAAACCACTTCTCATTTGTGGGCTGCCCCTGACATTTCTGTGGGCAAATGGCCCCAACCCAAAAGCTGGTGTGTGAGAGCATGGTGGAGCGTGTCTGTCTTCTCAGTCAGAGGCCACATCAGTGCAGGGTGTTATGGTTTTTTTTTTAAATATAAACACTTCTCATTTGTGGGCTGCCCCTGACATTTCTGTGGGCAAATGGCCCCAACCCAAAAGTTTCCCCACCCCTGCTGTGTAGCCTGCTGCTCTGCCTCAGATATTGCAGCATATTGACACCCAGCCAGGAATTCCTATATAACCAGCCAGCCAACCCCAGAGGTGGCTGCATCACGGCGCTAGCTGAGGGATCCTGGTGTAACCAGCCACCCCGCCCTAGAGATGACTGCATTTCACAGTTCAACCACCCAGTACTGAAGTTCCAATAGTCATGTGCCCCCAGCATGAACCAGCAACAGCCACCACCCAGGATACTGTGCAGGGATGAATAGGGACTCCCCACTTTTCCCCTATTAGATTTAAGAGCCATGCCTTCAACCAGATGCCTCTTTGCCCATTAGCAGGGGAGGGGAAGAGTTCATCCAGCATTTCCCACTCAACCCTACTCCACCAACAGTCTCCCATTTGGATGTAACCTCCCCATTTGTGAGGCGCCAACTCACCCTTGATACAAGGAAGGATGGCTCGCTGCTGGATAGCGGAAGGCTTTTCAAACCCATAGGCATAGATTCCCCGCAGCAGGGACTCCGACAGGTTCATATCGTCAAAGCTGTCCACGATCTCATTCCAGTTGCTCTGGAGGAGAAAGGGTTAATAGTGCTCCCCCCAAGTTACCTGAGCAGCTCCCTGAACTGGTCATTGCTCCTCCCCCCACAACTCCTGTCTCTACGGAGGAGAAGGACTTTGCAGGAAGATAATGAGCCTGCTGTTCTCCTAGTTAGCCCCCCAAACTAAACTAATCTCCTGGGTACCACCAAATCTCTAGTGACCACCAGAAGGCAGCTTAGCCTACCCTGCACCTACAGCCCACCCCCACTGGCCTAACCAGAGGCTCATTCTCCCTCACAGGGAGACAATGAACCCTGCCCTCACCCCAAAACACCCCAGTGATGTCACGAGTTAGACCCGTGCTGGCACGCATCCCAGGCCCACCTCAATGATGCCATCGGGGTCCATTCCCTCGGGGCCATTGTCTCTAGATCTGGAAAGGAGGCAAGAGGCTGGGGATTAGAAGTGGGGCAGGCAGGATGACAAGTGAGAACTGGACACTGCCCCCCACCCAATCCCCACCCAGGCTGGGGAGGGGTATCCTGCTATTCAACATGCCCAGACGCTTCATCCCCTCACATGACCAGGACCCCTCGCCCATCTTAGCCCCCACCCCAAAGAGCGGGGGGGCCCACCCCCACTGCTGCCTGGGACCCCTCCCCCACCCGAGGGGGCGATTGAGACACCCCCCAGTACCCGTATAGGCCCCCGGCCC